GTGCATTTCTTATGCCTTTGGTAAAAGATGTGTCCTCTACACTCCATAAACATAATCATCTCACGGGCCTTCCAGCCAAACACAGTGATTCCAGCAACCCCACATCTATAAGTTTTTTATTCCCTTCCTCAATTCTCTGCCATGGAAATTCTGTCATTTCAACTTTTTGTAATGTGAGCCATTGTTTTTTTCATGTTTCCAGGGGCCTTCCTAGTAGTAAATTCACACTAGCCCCTGGAATCCTTGCCAAAATGTTAAATCATGTAATTCAAGATAGCATTTCCAAGTCAATAAACTCTTCACTATCAAACTTTTATTTCAGGCCCCCTTGATCAAGCATTCTCAGAATCCAGTCCCATGCATACTCCTCTGACTCCTTCCAGTACATGTTGACTAGTTCTTGTAGCTCCTTTGGAGCATTGTCCCTTTCCTGCCTTATCAGGCTCAGAACATCCTCTGCTGTATTACGGGTCTCTAGGTATTAATGTCATCTCAGATCCTGTATACAACTTAACCCTAGTTATAGGCCCTGTGGGCAGTAGGGAAGATGGTGTGGGTCCTAGGGCAGGCACATGATACTTCATGTGTGAGAGGTCTATATAATGCCTTCCAGCGTGAGATGGTGGGTACTAGCTCTTAACAGGAATGAGTAGGCCATGTCTGCAGGCTCAGAGGTGTATGGGAAGTCAAAATCTTCAGAGACATCCATGCAGATATCCTCATCCCATCAAACGAGTCCTGGATTTTCCTAACCAAGGAAAATTGTGCTAACTTTGGCATGACAGATATATTTTGGTTGTGCATTTAGTCATCTCTGAAATTCAGTCCTCTGAATATTAATTCCTAGGCTTAGATCTTGACTTTCTCTACTTTCCCAGTAGAGTTGATAAGAGCTTCTTTGTATGCAACCAAGAAGTCCTCTGGCTTTTACACGTGGGTTTCAATCACCTATTACACACCCTAAGCTACTCATTATCTTTCTGGTGGGCATCAGTGGCATTTAACAATAGCCATCCAGTACCATTGTGCTTGTTATTACTATTTCTCCTCTAAGTTTCAAATGCATGATACATCACACCTGCTAATGTAGTCTCTTACACCAGTACAACCTCCCCATTCAGAACACGTGAAGTTTATGAACTGGAACTCCTTGTTCCAGGAGCTGTGTGTGCTCCACATATAACCAGTGATGGAGTCTGCACCACCAGCTGGATGGCAGTGTTCCAGCTTCAAACTCCATCTTACACCTACTTTCTCAAACCACACCTGGTACCAATTAATGCATGCTGGATTTTCTGGAAGCAGATACTGAGACAGAGTTTAAGGTGAAAGATACTTATTAGGGATCAACATCTATGAAAGGAAGAGACAGGAGTAGGATTGGGCAGAGGGAGAAATCAGATTATGATAATTTGGCAGTGAACTCTGGAATAAGTATTGCTCATAAGGGTGTCCTTTAAATGGCCTGTATAGTCCCACCTTGCTCAGTCACCAGATATAGGCTGCCCAAGAAAAGGCATGACCTCAGGTAAGGTGGCTCTTTGCAGCTGAAGCAGACCTTAAAGGATATGACAGCTGGAGTCTATCAGCTGACTGCTGTCCCTGCAGAAGTCTTTCCTTGAAAGGAGATCTCCATGTATAAATAATTATTTCATATTAGTTTCTGTTTGCTTTTTAAAGAAACCTTTAATAGGTTACTGGCCAATTATAGCTGATATAAATCCTATAAAGGCACAACCATTGAAATCTACAAAGTTACAATCCACAAACCAGAAGATCAATAATTTTCCATAAAATGTATAAAAATGAATAGGATCAAATTAGCATTATTCTTACCATTACTTTGAGATATAGTGCCATTTCTAGTCACTCCCCACCTGTTTGTGAATAAAGACACAATTTTTCATGACTGGAGAACAGTCTAGAGCACAAAATTTTTGCCAGATCTTACGCTCATTCTGGAGAAGTTTTGCAGTGATATTGCCGCCAACCAAGATGAGAGAGATACCCTATTCTTCTTGAATATGAGCTTAACATAGTGGCTTCTGGCAATTTCAACCAGAATTTTTTTTTTTATATAGGACAGATTTGCATCACTTTCTTAAACCAAAAGTGTAAGAAGTAGTCTGCTTAGTATATTGCTGTTTCTTTCCAGGAGAAATAGCCAGGTCTGTCCAGTAACTGAACAAAGTAGCATGGGCTATTAAGAAACATTCGGGAAGGGGAAAAAAGAGAGAATCAGTGTTCCAAAGGATGTCATTTGAAAAAGACTCTCAGTTTCTAAAACAACTTAGTCTTCCAATAGACAATAGTATTGTTTCCTCAAAGTGTGATTTAAGAATCACCTGCATCAGAATTACCAGAAGTTCTTGGAAAAAAAACACAAATTCTCTGGGGAAGAAGCACCAAACATTTGTATTTTTATATTTTTAACAGGCTGGTTAGGTGATGAAGGAATACACAAAGTCTGAGAACCACAGATCAATAACATGTTCACTGTTCAGTCATAGAGTGAGTTGTTAAGCAATACTGAAAGCTGACATAGGCTGAGCTCTGACTGTGGGCCACGCATTGCTGTAAGTACTTTAGGTGAGTTGTCTCATTTTATCCTCACTATAACTCTACAAGTGAGGGACTGTTATTACTTTCATTTTACAGGTAATAAAACTGAGGGACACACTTGGAAAATGGAAGATTTGGAATTAAAACACAAGAAGTTTGACTAGAAGTGGTATGCACTTTACTATAAGCCTAGGAGAAAACAAAGCTCAAGACCTTACAGAGGAATCTTAGACATCTATAGTCTTCTGAACTTTCACTTTGATAGTGTGGAGCTAATTACTTCTGTGTTTTAAATATTGATAATATTTTTATATGTAGATAACATTTTTCAGATTACAAGTATTTACCCATTGAACCAAATGTCATGTATGAGATCCTCTAGAAGTGATAAAGCTCCCTAATAATGTGGACACTGAGGTTGGATCCTTCACAAAACATAATCTTATCCTATCACTTTTGAAGAGCTGTCTGGCCTGATTCTGACCTGTCTGCAGTTAATATATCTATAAAATAATTAGCTCCTTTCCTCCATATATGTAACTGTTGTACCATCATTGGCACACTTTTTAAAATATGGTTTGTTTTTTAATGAGCTCATCATGAGTGGAAACAAGAACATAGTTCATGTCAGAATTTCATGAAAATATTCTCTTGGTTATTTACTAAAAATAGAATATAATAAGACTTCATCTCTATCATTATCAACTAAAAGCCACAATCCAGAATTCTTAAGAAAGTATTTTATAATTAAGAATATCTTATTCTATATTGCTTCACTAATCATGATGATGAGGATCCCAATCAAAAGGATATTATCAGTGTCACAGCCAATCTTCTAACTTTGTGGTTGTGTAAGACACTTCTGTTGGATTCACATATTTTGTTCTACACTTCAGCGTAACAATAAATAGCTCTTACTTCATTAGCATTTTACTCAAATGAGTTAAACATATTTGTTGCTGATTCTAATTAAAAATAAAATTCCTTTTTCCTTCAAGACTATAAAATTTTATAAAGAAAAAGTCTTAATTTTAAGAAGATTTCTTTTAAAAAGATATTTTATCCAATAAAGCACAATCATTAACATTGGAAAGCTTGTGTGGAGGGTTATAGGAATAAAATTAGTTTGTTGTCAGACATTTTAGAAGTTTTAACTACAGAATTACTTCAAATTCTCTTGAGTAAAAAGAAGAGGAAAAACACTCAAACTTATTATGCACCTCTTAAATGCTAACTCCTCTGGGTGCTTTGTATATGTTATTTCAATTAATTATCACCACATATTTGGAAAATAGCATTATTACTCACCATTTACATATGAGAAGACTGAAATTCAATGAGGTTAAGCATTATGCCCAAGGTCACACAGTTAATAAGTGAATCAAAATTCCAGGGTCTTTCCCCACACACCATGTTGCTTCCAGACAAAATGCTAGTAGCATATTAACGAACCAATGCAATCTTATTTGCATATAAACCTAGAATGGCATTGTGCAAAATACATTATAAGCCAAATTTTTAATCCTACCTATCGCATTTGCACACAGAGACAGTCTTTACAGACTGTCAGTTGTTAATCCATGAGTTAGTTTCAAAGAATGACCAATCCAATTTATTGTTCAGTGACCCAGGTAGACCCAGGGAGTAATCCTGGTTTCTCTCACACAGGCAATATTTCAATTAAAGAGATTTCTCTCCAATGAGGCCGTCAAAATACCTTAGTGTTTAGAAATTGTAGACCATTTGTTAACACAGCAATTGATGAGTGTGGGGTATGGGAAAGATTGGTTTTTGCATTAGGAATTTTCTTTCAAAAAATTCAAAGTTACAAATGAAAGCTAACCTTTTTAAAGTCTTGTTACTAACATCAGACTTGATCTATACCACTAACCTCTTCCTGATCCTAAACAATGCTAAAAGATCATGAAACAAAAGGGTAAAGTCAGAAGATGCATCACTCACAGAAAACAAAGTGGTATGTGACCTTAAAGCTTACTAAAGAAAATACTTCTGTCATTTTTCAGGTTCCTCTGGTTTTAGTTTTCTTCTCAACACCCTCCTTCTGTAAACACACACAGATACAACAGGTTGGAAACTAGTTCATTTCTCATTTTTCATTTATTTAAACAGATGAATATTCTGCCTCAGGAACCAGAACGCCGCCTTATATAATTGAGGGGTGTGTGTGTGTGTGTGTGTGTGTGTGTGTGTGTGTTATGTGCTGTTATGGGGTGTGAGAGGGGGCAGATAGAAATTCTGAGGAGCTATGGTAGAAAGGCAGAGTTGCTACCTCCCTTTCAAAGCTACTGTCTGGGAGAGGGGGTGGGGACTATACCAACCCATCACTACCCTGCATGCCAGTCTCACACACGGATCCTTCTTCGTCATGTTCCCTGGGAAATTTCCCCCAGATTAGGAAACAAACCGTACGGCGGGTCTGCCTTGGAAGGCGAGTTTTTACCATTGCAGCACAAAGGACAGCGGAGCGCGATTTCACATCCTCGCAACTCCAGTCACTCGACCAGCTCTATACTTCAGCACCACGGAGAGCGGCACCTCCTCGGCTACTACCCATGGGGAGCCAGATTACTGCGACTCAACACCGGATTCCGGTCATTTAGAGGAGGGACAAGTCTGCGTATTTCACCCTCAATGTAAGCAGCTATGATGATTCTTTCATATTGATTTTTCCGTCGTTTTCTGGCTGAAATATGGAATTAAACTTTTATTTATTAGCCCTCTCCCTCTTGTGCATTGCTTGGATTTATAGATATAAATCTGGATCTGAAATCTTTCTTATTTGTTGGGTTGAGAGAGAAATTTTCTTTTCTTTTTTTTTTTTTTTTTTTTTAATCTGTTGCCAATCTTCCTCTTTTTCAAAGCCATTTAGAAATAGACAACTCATCCTGGTAGCTCAGTCCTTTTGTGCTGGAGTGTAGTTTTATTCCTAGAAGAAAGTATATATGTTGTCTCTTCTCCTTCACTACTGACAGCTTTTTAATTTGATATTTTTTGTGGTTGTATTTATCTTAATATAAATATGGGGGTAGGAGGAAGAAGAAATCTATATTCTAAAAAGTAGCCACCATTAAAGAATGATGGGTGAGAAGAAAGAAATTGTTATTTTTCTTTCCCCTATTTTGTTGAAAATATGTCCTTTAGACATCCATTTCAACATAACGAATACGCTTTTAATAAAAGAGATGTAATCTGGGCAGGGCTTCGACACAAGGTTTGAAACTCTAGAACACAGAATCTCCCTCTTTAAGTTTGAAGTTGTAAATTCACTTAAGCATGATTGAGTAGACATAACCAGGATGCTATTGTCATTAATTGTAATTTAAAGGCTTAATGGATTCAGGGTAGATTTGAAAGAGGCAATAATGATTGACCCTGGATGGTGGCACTGAGTGAATTTTTGCCTCAGAATGCCACCTGCTGGTGGGTCCTATTTCTGAAGCACTGGGCACACATCAAATTTATGAATGAATTCACATTTAATCCAGAATATTCATTATGGATATGACTCAAACTTACTGTCTAAGATCTTTTAAACAATGACATTGGTTCAATTATTTAACAACTTACCACGGTTCTATGTCACAATTATAATTCATAAAAATTTATTTCCAAAAATAGTTGCCCCTAAGCTTAGGGGCATGTAGACCAGCTAACTCCTTTAGGCAGTAATTAACCCAGAAAAAAAAATCAGAACTATTTGGAGTCTCATTGAGGCTAATTGCAGATGCATGTGGTATCCTGGATGAGAGCTGCCAGGATCTCTTGCTTAGGAAGAGCAATCAACATTTTCCCCCAGATAAACATTCAGCATGTTACCTTTTTCAGTATTGTCATTTCAAAATTTAAGGGCTTCTCTTACTTTCTTGGTAGTAGATGTTCATTTCAGATTCTTCTGTCACAGAAGTCAATGAAACAATCAAAAGGTAACACATATCTATTTTATTCCAAGACAAATCTTTGGGGGAAAAAATATGTAACTATTAGAACTTGTTGTTTCAGCTCTATCGGGAGCTATACACAATGAGATATAGACATCCAGTTTCATAACTCCCCAGTTCCACGTTGACAAGGATTTTAAAAGAAAGAAGAATAAAAGAAGCACACACAAAGCACTAGTTATACTTGGATCGCTAATACGTAAGGTAGTTTGAAAATACTGAGAATAACTTCTCTAAATGATATTATTTGGCGAAAAATAAATCACTGATAAAATCATTTATTAACATTCAGGAACACTAGATAATATTTTTCAATCCAAGATGCAATGGAAAAAAATATCATGCATTTGTAGAACTGTTTGGAAAGCATATCTCAATGTTGTAATGAGTAAGCAGAAGGATACTTTGCTTGTTTCCTGTAGAACCTGACTGGTGAGGTCTATGAACTCATACATATTCATTGGGTAAATAGGTGGATATATTTTTTCTTTTATTCAAAATACATGTGTTATACAAGCAAATTATTGTCACTAGCTTAGGTGGGAACATGAATGCTTTAGATCCACAATGATTACAATTATATTAAACTAAAATAGTTAATATTATCCAATGTTACTACAGCACTTACTGGGCACTGTAATTTATATGCACTATCTCACTTCAACTTCAACAGAATAAGAAAGATGATACTTAGAAATAAGTTGGATGCCTTTGGAAATACATACAATTTTTCAGGAGTTTTTTGAAAAAGTAGGAATGCCTCAGTTTTCTGTCCCAGTCATCTAAGAGACTTAATACACCTTCTGATACTATCTGTCTCATCTAGAAACTTATGGGCCATTATTTATAGCAGAGCTAAATGGAAACCAATTTTGCTTTGGAATTCATAACTTGTTTAAAAAGTTGTCAGTTACAAATAGGAAATAGCAGTTATAGGATTAAATGGCTCCTGTATTTGTAAGAAGGAGGACACTGGTAAACATTAAGACCTCTATTTTATTGGTCTTCTTTAATGACCAACCCAAATTCAACTATTTAAGAATTGATTGAGTTATTTGACCATGCACCATATGCCAGGCATCAGGGGTACTAGGTACTGGGTACATATACCATACAAAGAAGTAATTCCCTGCCCTCAAGGATCCTGCAGCCTAATGGAAAAATTTACAGTCTAAAGAAACTTAGAAAAAAATGCAGGAGGAAGATGGATGGCAGCAGCATACCAGCCAAAAGCATGGGCTTTGAAATCAGAAAGATTAGACTCCTAATAGTGGGTCTACCATTCACAAGTTGTGTAGCTTTGGCAAAAGTGGGCATTTACCTGAGTCTCATTTCATCATCTGTTAAATGGGGATGACGATAGTATCTATATCATGTAATAGTTTATGAGAATTTAAAATGATAATGCATGAAAGTACTCAGCATGGTGCCTGCAACATGGTTAATGTGTAATAAATGTTAATCATTATGATTAGTCATTGAGGAGAATAGCTAAGCTTATCTTATGATCTGTGTGAATTTAAAACAACAATTCATATAAAACACTTAGCACAGTGTCTGGCACATGGCAAATGTGTAATATATGTGAACTATCACTATTATATAGTCATTTAGAAAAATAGCTAAGCTGAATATATCAGTGTAGAGTAAAATATAAGCCAATTTATAATCATTTACTTCAGTGTATTGACATGTAAAGTTTTGATCATTATTGTCATGGATATTTGTATAAAGCTTTACAGTATCCAGGTCATTTGATGTACATTATTTCATCTTCACTGTGGTCCTGAGGCACATGGTCCTTAGGAGGATATCTTTTCTTATTCCCTTTCTATTAGTAAGAGAACTAAGGTTTAGGAGAAGACTCCAAATCACTTGGCTATTTCATCACTGTTGCTCTGGACTAAACCTCAGAGTATGTACACTTGGGAGAGGATGCACAGACCAGAACTAGATTTTCCTGGGTGACTGACCTGTCTCCTAGATTTTGCGTGGTTGATGTTCAGTTGTGGAATGTTACAGACTGAACTGGTTTCAGGCTTGGATAATTTCCACAGAGACCTATGGTGCATGTAGTAACTTTACAAAATAGACAACAAATATCTCTAAAAGGACATTTCGATTAAGTTGCCTTTTTTCATCAGTAATTAACCACAATCCTCGTGTCCAAAAAGTTGTATGGTCATGCTCATTTGCAGCTGGACTTGGGATGCAGAATTCATACTTTTCGTGGATCACTGACATCTGGCTTCCTTCCACTGGCTGATGCATCTGTAAGAGCAGCTTGATAAAAATAGCAACCAAGGGATCAAGAGGGAGTGTAATAATCAGTGCTCCTCCCAAATATGGTTTTGTTTCCACTGGAACCCCTTCTTCTCAATGACATCAAATGTCAATGTATGCATTTATGGAAAATGAAAAACACAGTATCTTAATTGAGGTGTTTGATGAGTTTGATCACTCATTATCTCAATAATATATGCAAATAAAAAGGAATTTGCATTCAAATTTCATTTTCAAGAAAAATATTAAAGTAAGGGCAATCAAATGCTAATTGCATTTTAGGGATAATTCATTTTGCTCTTTATTGGCCCTAAAACTGTGACAAGATCCCCAGGGTCCAGGAGACCAACACGTCTGATTCATGACTGTGAGCTTTGGCCACCAGCTATTATGGATCAAAAGACTTTATCTTTCTGACATATTATCTTTTGTGGATTTTTTTCCAACCCATGTGAAATGTATGGCTAAAGCCTATCTATAATGCCAAGATTGAATGGCAAGGATATGGTGGCTAAATATATTCATAGGTGTATAAATGTATAAATGGGGGAAATAGGGAAAGGTTGATAAAAGGGTACAAATTTTCAGCTATAAGATGAATAAGTTCAGAAGATCTGATGTAAAACATGGTGACCATAGTTGATAACTCTGTATTCTATAATTGAAATTTGCTAAGAAAGTAGAACTTAAATGTTCTCACCAAAAATATATATACACATTAATATGTGAGGTGATGGTTATGTTAATCAACTAGATGGTAGGATTTCTTTGATGATGTATACACACAGCAAATCACCACAATGTATACTTTAAATATTTTACAATTTTATCTGTCAGTTCTACCTTAATAAAGCTGAAAAATAAAATAAACGTTTATTTTTTTTATTTCTTAGTGAGGAAGATTAGCCCTGAGCTAACATCTGTTGCCAACCCTCCTCTTTTTGCTGAGGAAGATTGGCCCTGGGCTAACATCCCTGCCCATCTTCTTCTACTTTATATGTGGGATGCCTGCCACAGCATGGCTTGATAAGTGGTGCGTAGGTCTGCGCCCAGGATCCGAACCTGCAAACCCTGGGCCGCCAAAGCGGAGTGCATGAACTTAACCACTATGCCACCAGGCCAGCCCCAAAATAAATGTTTAGAAAGCATCATTAGAGGGATATTAGGGTAAGAGTGAGTCAGAGCTAATAAAAAAACCCAGTGAGGTTAAAAGGCCTCCATCAATATCTGAATCAGTTCACGTGGCTTCAGGGTCTGCCGTGAAACCCCTTATGTTGGAAGCAATCTCACTGAGTAGTGTGTCCCACCATATGCTCGTATGTGTATATGACTTAAAGGCCCGTAAGTTTTCATCAGTGCCAAATTCTGCTGGGAAAGGAGCAGAACTGACAATTCTGTGAGCATCCAAATGTATCTCAAACCTGAGGTTTTTAAGACTGAGAAAGAGAGGCTTGTTTATTTTTTACTACCTCTGGGTGTCTGCTTTCAAGGTCATTCAGAAAAATGCATGTCAAGTGGTGAGGATATTTTAACATCTGACAAATACTAGCCATATACATATTTTATTGATATAACATAATTATTATAGAAACATCACAATTTATATGATGCTCTACTCTTGTGCAGATAATTATTTGCCTTAAGGTTCAGTCTTTTTGCTTCACCTACCTCAGTTTCTCCACCTAAAAAATGAGAATGCTAGGGGCCGACCCCGTGGCTTAGCAGTTAAGTGCGTACGCTCCGCTACTGGTGGCCTGGGTTCAGATCCCGGGCGCACACCAACGCACCGCTTCTCTGGCCATGCTGAGGCGACGTCCCACATACAGCAACTAGAAGGATATGCAACTATGACATACAACTATCTACTGGGGCTTTGGGGAAAAAAAGGAGGAGGATTGGCAATAGACGTTAGCTCAGAGCCGGTCTTCCTCAGCAAAAAAGAAAAGGATTGGCATGGATGTTAGCTCAGGGCCGATCTTCCTCACAAAAAAAAAAATGAGAACGCTAATACCTTGTTTTTTAGGTTTGTTTGTTTGATTGTTTGTTTAATGAGGGGAATTAACAAATGATGCTTTAACATCCTTTAAGTTTGTAGGCTGCATCATCTATGATATTCATATGGTCTCCGAATTTAGATAGGGTACTTATATTTTCCTTGTGAAATGTTTCTCTGCTCTCACTTGGTTCAATAGTTAATATATTTCCTTTGGATTAATCTCTCCATGGCTTGTTGCTGTGTAATAGCTGTGTACTCTTCACCTTGGAGTCTGACCTATTATCCCTCTTGAGCGGACCTCTAATGAAAAAGTGACATGGAATCAAGCTCAATGCCAACTCCTTCTAGGATAGCTGCCACTTCATCTCTGATGTACTGCTCAGATGCTCTTGAGTGGAAACTTCCTTTTCTTGGGTTGATTTTTGATGGCTAAGTCCAGAGAGGTGCTCATGAAAGGGGCAGAAGCCTCCTCATAGGACAGGCTGAGTAATTCTGTTAGAAAGATTATTAGTCTTTTGTGGGCTCAGTTCCCAGCTGAGTGTGTGCGCCCAGATGACAGACCTTAAAACTGAGTTTATAACATCCTCTGAAACAAGACCTTTTGGGAATACAAATGAGTAGATTGCTTAGCTTTCAACACAGTCACTTTCTCTCCTTCTGAAAACCTGTAATAATAAATGCCTGCAACCTATTGGTGAGTCCCTCTCTCCTGTAAAGATCTTTGTTGGACTCCCAATCTACAGCCACAATCTGCTTCGACATCAAAGAGCAGCCTTTCTCCCTGGGATAATGGCATTGTTGAGAGATATTGGCTCAGAAGGAGCTCATGAACTTGAATCCTGAAAATCTTTTCCCCAGAATTCTTTTATCAAAGTGCACTTTGGTATCAAAGTGCACTGAGTGCATGGCAGTTCAGACACTCTTCCTAAAGGAGCGCAGAGCTCTTTAATTAGGATTTATCACATACAGTTGCCTTTTGAGGGAATTGCCCATAATTATTCCTTTTACTTTTTGCAGATGAAGAAGCTGTTCGCCTGAATAGTTTAGCAGCTTCTCCCAAGAAGTGTCACTCAGACCTAGGCAGGATTAGAGTACAGGCTCTGACCTCCAAGTCTTTGCTCTATACTAGACAGGGCCCCCTAAAGGAGCTAAAACCAAAAGGGTGTGAGCAGGTCAAAAGGTAAAATGAGCAGAAAACTAAGTGGACTCCAAAATTTAAAATCTCAAAAAACTAAGTTTAACTTAAAAGCCTTCCTCTGTGATTAGTTTTGTTTATTTTTTACAAATGGTTTAAATGAAGTACTGAGTATTCTTAATGCATGGAGATATGATCAATAACAAAAAGACAATTGGGAACACGGAAAATAGTTCAAAACAAATCCCCAAGTACTTACTCTTTAGAACAATATTCTCTTATTGAAATATACGCCACTGTAATATTATTTGAATAACATGAGTGGTGGTAGAATAGAAAAGGAGAATAGAAAATACGGGTAGGGCCAATTGGAGAATCAGAAAAGTTTGAGATATTCGAGTTCGTAAAGAGCTGGGGAACATCTGGTCCAGCCTCTCTAATTTAACAAAGTATCTTGAGCTGGGGACCTGCTAAAAGTTTCAAAGCTAGTTGGAGATAGGGTATCTGGCTCAAGCTCAGATTACACTATAGCTGTTATTCTCTTAGTCTGCAATTTTAAAACCCTGCAAACTAAAGGTTAGGTAACTTGTCCAAAGTCACAAGGCTGGCAAAAGGTGGAGCCAGGATTCCTAATCCAGACCTTCTGACTTCAAATCCTGTCCCTCAGCCCCACTTGTCTCAGGATCTTCATCTGAGATAAGGATAATAATAGTATCTACCTCATAGGGTTGATGCAATAACTACACAAGTAATATATGTGAAGTATATTAACTTCTTAGTATAGTTTCTGGCATATAGTAAGTGCGTAAGAAATGTTAACTGCTATTACTAGTAGTGTTAGTATTAACCTCCACACTATGCCACAATAGGAAAGAACAACAAGTTAGAAATGAATCCAGCATATAAATTGCCCTGTTCTTCCATCCATATAAAAATCCAGGTTTGGGGGCCAGCCTGGTGGTGGAGCGCTTAAGTTCACGTGCTCCATTTCGGCGGCCTGGGGTTCGAAGGTTCGGATCCCAGGCGCGGACCGACACACCACTTATCAAGCCGTGCTGTGGCGGCATCTCATATAAAGTAGAGGAAGATGGGCATGGATGTTAGCCCAGGGCCAATCTTCCTCAGCAAAAAGAGGAGGACTGGCAACGGATATTAGCTCAGGGCTAATCTTCCTCACAAAAAAAAAAAAAATCCAGGTTTGATCTTAAGAAGCTAGGGCTGAATGTCCTCAAGAGGGCTGCTTGAGTGGCCATCAGTAAGTGGCAACGAGTCTAGGCCTGCTCCCTGCCACATCTTGCCCTTTAGTAGGTGCTTAGGCTGCACGGGGACCAGAAAGGAAGCACAGTCCCCACACAGTATAGTACTAAATGTACAAACAGAGGTGTGTGCCCACGCTTGCATATTATTGCAGTTTTGTCATATAGTGCGGGAGCTCATTGGGGGCAATACACCTGAGCCAATGGCAGCAGTATCTGTGGCGGCCACCTCTACAGCAGAGCCCCTAAAGAACTGGGCATACCAATAGGCAAGAGGGGACAGAATAAAATCAACATTGACTGAGCACTTTCTATATGCATGTCACCTCATTTAATCCTCCTACGGACCCAATGGCACACAAAAAGTTATCCACGTTGTACAGGTAAAAGTGCAGAGAAGCGTTGTACCAAAGCACAGGGAAGTTAAGTGACGTGCTCAACTTTGCACAAATGGAAATAAAACCAACAGCCCTTGGCCCATTTCAGCCACATCACTACCCCACACTCTCCACCTCTGTCTCCCCTTACATTCCACCTAAACCCACATTTCAGCTCTGCCGCCACTCCTCCATGCAAGAGGTACAGATACCAGATAACTAAATCAATATTCTTCTTTTGAATAAGAATAGTTCAGGTTATCCATTTTGTCTTAATCTCAGTGATAAGACAGTGATTTCTCATAAGATTTCAGTGATGACATTCTTTTTATCTCAACAATTTTTGTTCCCTCTGCCCTGGGGAACCCACAGGAGAGTAATCCAGCATCTTTACCTTGTCGCCCCACAGGTTGGGGAGCAGCGCCTTCAAAAACATGCAGCGCCGGCACACGACACTGAGGGAGAAGGGCCGCCGCCAGGCCATCCGGGGTCCCGCCTACATGTTCAATGAGAAAGGCACCAGCCTTACGCCCGAGGAGGAGCGTTTCCTGGACTCGGCAGAGTATGGCAACATCCCAGTGGTCAGAAAAATGCTGGAGGAGTCCAAGACCCTCAACTTCAACTGCGTGGACTACATGGGGCAGAACGCGCTGCAGCTGGCCGTGGGTAATGAGCATCTGGAAGTCACAGAGCTGCTGCTCAAGAAGGAGAACCTGGCACGGGTCGGCGACGCGCTGCTGCTGGCCATCAGCAAGGGCTACGTGCGCATCGTGGAGGCCATCCTCAACCACCCAGCCTTTGCGCAGGGCCAGCGCCTGACGCTCAGCCCGCTGGAGCAGGAGCTGCGTGACGACGACTTCTACGCCTACGACGAGGACGGCACGCGCTTCTCTCATGACATCACACCCATCATCCTGGCGGCCCACTGCCAGGAGTATGAGATCGTGCACATCCTCCTGCTCAAGGGCGCACGCATTGAGCGGCCCCACGACTACTTCTGCAAGTGCAACGAGTGCACCGAGAAGCAGCGCAAGGACTCCTTTAGCCACTCGCGCTCGCGCATGAATGCCTACAAGGGACTGGCAAGTGCCGCCTACTTGTCTCTGTCCAGTGAAGACCCTGTTCTCACCGCGCTGGAGCTAAGCAATGAGTTAGCCAGACTAGCCAACATTGAGACTGAATTCAAGGTAACTCTCCCACTCACCAATCCGCAGGCGGGATGCCCAGTAGGCTCTTCCAGGTGTGTCCAGTAGCCAAATGGGTGGTCTTCCAGTCTACCACAGGGTAAAGGCCTTGAAGTCTTGCGGTTCAGGCTCACAGGGGAGACCAGCACTTCCTCAACCTGTGTCAGATGTAGCCTGAGGGAAAAGCAGCCCATTAGGTGGAATATTTGCAACCACGTAAATGTGGTGAAGAGGTGACTTAAGCACAAATCCATGCAGTAAAAGACAAGCAGCACACAGGCAGGATTATATTGTGGTTCTGGTAGAAATGCCTCAGCTCTGCCCCTGGGGAGCTCAGGAGTGTCTAGGATACCTGTGGTTGTTTGTAGTCCAGGTCTTGGGCTTCTTGATTGTCTCACCTGCATGGTTTCGATTTTTCTTGTTCACATCTCTATCCCATCCTGGACAGTGTCGATCCTAGGTTCAGTCTCATATCTAATGCTAGAAAGACTTAGCTGCAGCCTTTCTGAATTTAGCAAGCTATCGCTATTGTCCTATCAAAGGGCTGAGGAGGAGGCACATGAAGATGAAAATAAAACTGTCTCTGTAAAATTGAGCTTGTCATCCCAGTAGATGGGCCCAGGACAAAGCCCTGTAATTCAGCCACCCTGAGAATACCTGGACCTACCAGGCTAGCCCATGAGATAGAGACCCATCTCCAAAGTCCGTTATTTAATAGTGGTCCTGTGCTTTTACTGTCAACTGACACTCCTCCTGAAAGAAAAGACTGGGACCTAATTCTTTTGACACAATATTTAATAATAATCAAGAGCAAACATTAAGTAGGCACTTACTATATGCCAAGCACTAATTGCCTTATCCATATGATGTTGTGTAATCCCCTCAACAACCATTGATATGGGTACCACTATCGTCCCCATTTTATATGAGGGCACAGAGGTAGAGAGATATCATATAGCTAGTAAGTAGCAAAACCATTGTTCTAATCTAGGCATTCAGACCCCAGAGCCAGTTTTTAGCCATTCCGGGAAATTATGGGTCAGAGGCCTTGTTCACGCCTTGGGCTTCTCAGAGTTTCATCTGTCTTTATCTGAATGATGAAGGGATTCTCCACTGCAGAAGGTGTGGCTGAAAGAGTAGAAACTACAACTGGGCTCATAATTTCTCATCCTGCCATTCAATCAGAGCCTATGATGCCATGGAGCATACAAAGAGGTGCCACATGCAGGGCTGACAATGGAGCTGGGAAAAGATGTCACCTGCAGGAGGAAAGTTCATTATCTAAACAAGATGTCAGTGCAAGAGCTACCCCTGCACAGGACACAATTAGGTAGCCAAGGATGGCTACCAACTCACAGCAAAGGAGGCCCCACAGACCACATTGTTCAGGGAGATCTCAAAGGAGGAAACAGAGTTAGGCTGGGCCTTGCTGAGCAGCAGGAACTGGATCAGTGGGAAGAGAGAGGTGTGCATTTGGAGGAGGCAAGTGAAGGTGAGGTCCAGAATGGCCCATGGCAGGCAGGGGACTGATGAGAAGCTCCATGTGACTAGAATGAAGACTTCCTGTAGGGGCACAGAGGAGGAATGCTGAAGAGATGAGTTGGGGGCAGATCTCAGAGGGCCTTGAGTGTCAGGCTGAGAACTATGGATATTATCCTGTAGGAAATGGCAAGCCACTAAAGGTTTGTGCTTAGGGAATTAAAATGATGAAAGCTAGAGTTTTGGAAATTTACTGGACTAGGTAGGTAAGATGAATTAGAGGATTTGGACATGAGGCACTGGGACTAAAGAGGGGGACAATTTAGTTGTGCATGCATGAGGCCATGGAAGCCTCTCTGCAGGAATGGGATCGCCTACAGCCAGGTTCAGAAGAGCCAGGCCTACAGGAAGCTGCAGGGCACCGCAAATTGTGAATAGATGAAGAATCCTATAATTAAACTAATTTTACCCCATCAGCCCTCACCATCTTGGACCCATCTACTGAATTAGAGCCACTTCCCTAAATCCTGCATTGTTCATAGCCTCATCTAGAAAACCTGGTGGATGTAGAGATTACCCAAAGAATCTTCCAGGAAATGTAGCTATTGCCTCTTCTTTCCTTGTTTCTGTACAGTAAACTCCACCTACCAGCAATAAGGCCAATAATTCCCAAGGAAACTTGGTGGAATTTTGCTTGTTCCCTGGGCTTCAGACGGAATCTGCATAGGCCATGTAAAACAAAAACTAAGCCAATTAATTTAGATATTTCTAGCCAAGAGAAAAAAACTCAAGCAAAAAATTTTTTTGGATCAGATTATCTGGATAATTGCACAATTCTCTACTTATCTGGAATCTGGGAGCATGCCAGCCTTACTAAATAAAACGATGCTAGACTAACATTTGAAATTACATCTGAGCCATTTGTTTCCTCTACCAAAACCCAAAACCTGGCATATTTCAGTATATATAATATCTAAAACTGGAAGTTTGTTGAAAGCATCTACTATGATATTTTGATTTAAAAAGTAAATTATAAAAATTATGGACAATTAAGAACACTACTAACATGATGACAAATCCTTTCTACAATGCAATGATTTACTCAAAATAAGAGTTAGCATAAATACATTTGCTGGTTATTAACACCCCCTAGTTACCTTTGTTTGAAATAATATTTCAGATTGTTGACAAATTGTGCATTATAAATTAACATAAGCGTTCCTTTAGAACTTTATTACTTATTCAACTATCCTTGTATGTGCATTCCTGACATTACAAATCTTCTCAGAGAGCAGAGCAACTTAGCAAGAGGGAAGTCAAATTATAATAAAAGAATAAAGAGCAAGCGTATGTGTTCTAAAATGCACTCTTCAGGAGTCTGTTCTGCTTTAAAGGGGCTATGCATTGCTGACTGTAGCCACATGTCATGGAGATGACCCAATGCCATCAACTGTATAAAAAAGCTATCAGGTTCTCACTGGAGATGTCATATGTCATCCTCCAGATCCTCTAAAACATTTATTCTGGGAGTGATTCTTCTTAACTGGAAAACATCATGCATCAAAACCTGGATTCAGTTGTCCAGGCTATTGTTTTTAGAGTCATTTAATTTATCACCAGAATAGAGTCCAGTCATTAGCAAGACATACAACCAATGTCAAGGTCTCCAGTAATTTGTGGCTAGAGTCAGATGCCTACTAGAAAGCCATTATTTTTGGTGTGGAAATTATGCAGCTGTTCAAGGATTTTCTTATGTCTCTCTAATCTTCTTTGGTCTAAAAAGATATTAAAACTCGATGTGGCCACTAAGCCCTTCCTAGTGTCTTGAACAGTGCCCAGTAATCTAGTAAGTATTCTGTAAATACTTGATGAAGGAAATGAAGGAAATTCTAAAAGGATAATCATTTCGACTGATGAAGCAAGTGATTACTTTTATCTATGGTTTAACCTCTTCCTACACTTATGGATTTAATAGAGGTATTTGATGGATGTGGTGAAATGGGAAAGCTCTAAAGAAGGTTACAGGAGGTTAAGGGGATAAAACCAACATACATTAAATAACTGAAGACCAATCATATGCTGCACTGTATGGTGCCAATGGCCACTAATCACCTGGAGGGCACAGTGTCTCTTCTTGGTCTTGCCCACAGTACCTAACATGTGGAGTCTGGGAGCACTGCCCACACATGACATTTTGGTTGCCTGGTTTATCCATGCAGTAGGAGACACAGAAGGGGAAGATCAGAGTGGGATGGACTATTCAGAGCCATTTCATCCTGATGAAACAGGCTCTGTCTGTGTAGAGGCACCTGGAGTAGCATGGAAAAATAAGGCATTTTTCCATTTCAGTTGAGTTATAGCTCCTAGCACCAAGAACACAATAAGGTCTCAACATTTCTCTTGAATTAGTCTGCTTGGTTTTCTTCACTGTTCATCCTTCTGATACAATTTCTCAGGGTCCCTTTATTTTGCTGATGTCTTCCCAAATTCCTAGGCTTTCTATCTATGCACGTTGTTTATCTGTGGAGCTGTTGTTTCAAAAAGATTACAAGTGGTAATCTTTCTTTCCAACTTAGAATTATACCAACAGCAATGACTAGCAGGGGCAGGGAGGGAATGAGAAAGGAAAGGACTACAAGGAAATATTGTAGAGGGAGGTTTAGGGCTTTGGAAGGAAAGAGAAAGCAGGATGGGGATTGGAGGTAGCCCTCTTGCTCTCTCATCTTTTGCTTAAATTTAAAAGTGCCCAATCTTCCCAAGTCAGAGAATTGGAAGCCCAAAACTTTACCTTAGTTATTTAAGATTTGGTCACTCTGAGTAATAACAAAGTTGTAACTGAGATGGCTTTTCCTGTGGACAAAACACCAGCATGGAGGCTGCTGATGGTGCTTCAGTCACAATTTATTCTTACAGACCACAGAGGGGAAGGGTAAAGGCAAAGAAGCTAAAGCTGTAACTTCATCTCACTTAAAGTGCTGATGAGTTTTCTGTTTGTCAGTGGGTTGTTAACCACATGTATTATGAAAAATAGATAATGAATTATGTATCAATGTTTATGTTGCCATTTTAAGACCCATAAAAAATTCTCTGGGCCTAAAATACCACAAATTAAAAATGCAAATAATGATAGACCAATTTGCCACCTGCTATGATCTCTAGTGAGATCCCACTGTGGAAGGTAAAAATGTTGAGATGACAGTTTGTAATCTGCTTGCAAACTTATCAAAATGGAAGAGGGAAGAGGTGGGGAGAAGAAGGAGGAGTGACTTTATATTGTTGTAGGGAGAGCTGAGACCACATCTGAACTCTGGCCATCCAGAGCCAGGAAGCCAGGAAGGTTGAGTAAAGGCCACCCTGAGCCTGAGGCAGTATGGAAGGCTGAATAAGCCCACCACCCCGAGCCTCCAGTAGAATCTGTGTTTGCATCTGTTTCTCACATGCTTTGAATATTTTTAAGATTTTTAAATTTTATAGACCAACACCCTAGGAAAATACGTTTCCTTGAAGTTTGAAAGCTTGGCTGG